ATGTCCCACTATATAATTCAAGATCTTATCAAACCGAACTAACATTATCGTTAATTTAAAGCATCCAATTAAAAATCTGATTAGATAAAATTCGATTGATGATTTAAAGAATGATTTCATTCTCTTTATCTCAATAAATGTCAAAATGCGCGATAGCGGCAAGTATAAATAAAAACTTTTTTGTAACCAATAATAAAGTATATTAAGTAAATAGTTTTTCTCTAATTAGAATTAATAATACCCAAAAGAAAGAGAAATAAATATCTATTTATAATATTAAATCATATTTTTAATTTCGAAAATTATAACAGGTTTTTAGTAAAATTAGTAAATTATTAGTTTCGTAATATTTACTGATGTTTTATAATAAAGAGAAATACTAACACAAATTATTCCTGTTGAAATCGATAATACATGGTAATAGAATTTCATGAAAGAATGATACCTCAATTTTTGTACAATAATCGAACAATGATGAACAAATATTTCATAATCCGTTTCTTCATTCTCAACTTCATCCATGTCTTGTAACGGATACTATGATTTGTATTGATCTTATCTATTATGCAATCAGATATTTGTGCGTAACTATTGTACTCAATGAGAATTTATATTCACGTGAGAAATGATATTTGTATATTAATTGCTAAAATAAAAAATTCAATATTTACTTGCGTTGTAAGCAGAAGGATACCCTGTGGAACTAAGTCTATTTCGAAAATGTTTACTTGTGTTAGAGGAACGAGAAAGTAAAGACAAGAGGCAAAGAGCGAGAGGATGAGGAGGAACGGGGAAGAGGGTGAATGCATCCAACTCCGCTTGTAATGAACTTGTGAATATTTAGTGGGGTAATTGCCCTTCGTAGCGAGTCTCGCTTGCGTCTACCGCTGTAAGGGGTGTCCGCCAAATCCGGAAGCAAAACCAATATCAGTCGGCCACCTGTGCTCTCAGCTTGCACTTCGTCATATATACGTTACGTGTGCACATCGGTTCCACATATATCGATAATTTGATTTCCTCGGGGACATCGCAGGACGACTGCCAGCCGTTCAGCTGACTCTACCCTACTTTTTCATTCCGTAATATGCCAAACAAAAAGATATCTGCACTTTTCACAGAGCTTCAGCGACGTTACTGAAGAAACACACACCAAATTTTCATAATCTTATATGGAGGTTTAAAATATAAGAGTGCTCGATTAAATATCCGTATTTTTCCGATACACATAAGACAATTTTTTTAATAATAGAACCGAAAAGAAATGAAAATTTATTATAATATGTGCTAGAGAGCACGTAGTTATATTGTATAGAACAGGAAAATAGAATTTCTTGCTATTTCCGTAAAATTGGATCTTTCGAAAAACAATAGTTTTGACAAGTTTATTTTACTAAAGGATTCTAGAAAAGCGGTCCTGTCACGGAAATTGCCTAGAAATTCCATCTACAAAACTCATATCTCAAAACTCATAGGAAAGGATCGCTTATCTTAATAGTTTTGAACTGATATAAATTGCTATGTAACATTGTTGTCAGAAAGTTAAAAAAGATAGCTATAAAATTTCTTATTTATGTCATTTGCACAAACATACTATAGATATACAATTTAAACATAGATTGTGTTGTTAAAGTGTTATTTCATTTGAACAAACCTATGACGTGATGTGTTAAATTCTCGCATTGTTTTCAATACGTTCTTTTTTCAGAATATGTTACTTCGCAAAAATCTAGATTTATGGTATCGTTTCTTAACTTCTCTACGCTTCGTAAATTCTAGACGCATATACTATAAATAAAATGCGAATACGATCTTAACGGTACAAGTGTGCATTATGTATTCTGATAACCGATTACTTCATGTTTCGTGCCAAATTGCTTCCGGTACACTGCAGTAAATATGATTTGTTATTATTTATCGAAAAGATTATGTCGCAGTTCTGTAACGCAATATTTTGTAAATCAGTATAATACGAAAGTAATGATTACAATTTTCAATTTTTCTATTATTTAATCGTAATTTTTAATTCATTGCTTTTAATATTAAAAAATACAATTAAAAAAAGCAATGGTTAACATCAGCAATTTAATATCAGCAATTGAAAAGCGATAACTCTATTCAATAAAACATGCCAGTAACTCATGTAATAAATGTACAAGTCCAAAGAGAGACATGCAACAAGACTGTAATCTGCCGACGAAGCCTAAGCTTACTGCACGTCTCGTGCAAAAGAGGCTTCCGCGTTCTTTGCACGCCATCTGAACGTTTTATAATCACTGCTTCTCTCTTTCTCTTTCGTTATCCCTCCTTACTTTTGCATTCTCTATCTTTCTTACTTAGAAAAATGTCTGGCTATTAATTCACCCTCGCCTCCTGCCGCGCATAACGCCTTGACGGAACGTACCACCTGGTAAAACAAGCTACATAAATTAAATGGTGGATTATGTATCCGAAATTTTCTTTATTTTCCGAACAACGGAGAAGAACGGCGCAAATGAGTAAAGGTTAAATACAGTTCGTGTTAAAATACAAAATTGTAATTATAAACTACGTCTGCATTTTGTGAGAAAGATAAATGCGATTTGATGAGAATTTATATTTAGCAGCTTTTTAAAAACATGATAATGATACAGAAGTGTTTCAAAATTATATTATACAGTAATATTTAAATTTATCTTTTGATTTCTCAATTAATAATACTTTTGTACATTTAGATAAACCAACAATCGATAACCACAAAAGTAGTATATCTATAGATATTTATTTTACATTTGTCAACACGATTAAAAAATAGTACCTTGGCAATTATAGGTTTTTTCGCCTCGGTAAAATTAACAAATGATGAAACGCTACCAGATCGATCATCGATACACACCTATCTCGCGGCGCATCTTATGACAACGACGGCAACCAATCGGTTTCCAATTTGATACAGAATAGAATCCATTAACGGCGTCCTCCACTGACGCTTCCACCGACCGGATACATTTCGGCGAGTGTCAAGGTGGGAAATGGCAGAAGTAAAGCGAGAAGCCGGTACGGAAGTGACGGAAGAAAAAAGGTATTGCGGGTGAGAGAGCGCGACGAGGGTACAAGAGAGAGAAACGAGGGATGAAAAGGAACATACGAGATGCGCGTAAGCGAGCTGGCTGGCAGCCGGTAGCTGACTCGTACCGATAAGAAGTCTCGATCCGCGTTCTCTCCCGCAGTTCTCTGTCCAACGCTTCGTTCGTACCTTTCCTTTCACGCGCTTCTTTCTCCAGTTCTCCTTTTTGCAAGGAGAATACGACATTAACTGACGGACGAAGAGCGACGTCGGCGCGACATGATCTAGCACGGAGAGCGGTAGCGGCGTAGGCGATGTAGCCGACAAACCCTATCGGAGTATTGAGCTCAAAACGAAATGGGGAATTTAAGTGTCGCTGTTCAATGATGAGATCTTTCCTAGTATCTGTTATCTCTCACTATTCTTCTTTTATCTTCAGTTTGTCATTTTTTACTTCTATATTATTTACATTTGAATTATTTCAAGAATTATGTGTGTGACGTTTACTTAATTTATATAACAATTACTGATGTATCAACTTTTATAGGAAAAATATTACATATATACGTTAATAAATACGATTTAACGATTTATGATAGATTTAGTGTATCCATATTGTGAACAATTCATATAAAGCATATAAAGAATGGAAATGTAGAAATAATTTACGTTTTTTACGGATATACGTGAAATAAAATAGATGTTATGTTTCCAAGTCAAGACAAGAAAAAGAAGTATTTAAAGGCTTGTAACCTATATAATTTAAGGTACTTATTTTTTAAATGATCATTGTTGTGCAGAAGATTTGTGCTAAATGTAGCAATTCCGGAAAAGTGTGATTAAGTAGTAAATTTTTTATGGTTGACCTATTCTCATTTATATAGGCGCAATTACTACTCTAAGTTTATTCGCTGCTGCCCGTTACATTTTCTGCACTTACATGTGCCAGTGCCAGTTTGATAATACAGACTACCTATTAAACTGTTGATGTTAAAATGCAGCAAAATGTTCGCATAACGCGAAGATTTCTATCATTTGATACGAGATATCTTGAACTACACGCTCATCTTTGATTTTAAAATACGTCGAAATTATTTCTTTATTACGATCGTATTACTTAGCGTATACGTTCAGTAAGTCTAACGTATACTTCTACAATACGAAGATTATAGGTACTGTAAAAGTAAATTAACTCTTATGTTCAAGCACTTTTACAAGTTTCTTCGATAACGATACTTATTGTGATAACTACACTTATTCATGTTTACTATACGTAAATAAATAATATCTAATATTTTATAATTTATTATTCTATTTTACAATAAATAATTAGAAAAAATATAAGATAAAGGAGACGATAATAATCTGACACACTTACACACAGATGGAATAAAGAATATGAAAAACGTCGAAATATAATTTTAAGCTTGCAAATTATAGTTTTAATTTTTTAAAAAAGAAAACATTAAGAAATTACAATAGTCTGTATTTACAAGATTAAATTTAAAGTAGAAAAAGTAAATTTAAGTAATTCTCTCTCTCTCTCTCTCTCTCTCTCTCAACACTTGAGCTGTGTTAGAAAAAAGTAATAAATATCTCATAATTTGTAATATATTCTGATGTAATTCATATTTCATTTCTTTATAAATTTTTGAATTTTGCATGAAAAATAATCTATGTATTAATAACGTAATGCCAAACAAAATATATCAGCTAGCAAAATTAGAACATGTAGACTTCGAGATAGACTGGTCTATCACGAACACTTGTTATCATTATTATCGAGCAATCTTCATCAAATGGTACAGATATCGCCTGCTATTTACTAATTAATCAATTAAATTAAATAGACTTATATATACATGCAATAAGTGTAATGGATAATTTATTTATAATTTATTAGAAGAGATATGTATAATATAATGTCATATAAACCATGTAGTGATAATATAATACAACAATTTAATACAGTAGTAGTCCACATATCGTTATAGTAATATGTAATTAAGTCGTTACAGATATAAACTGATTATTGAGCCGTGCATCCAGCTTTGAATGGAAAATCGCAGACTTGTTTTTCGGGATTGAAGTGTAAGTCTTCAGGACACTTCATTACAATCGGTCGGCCATAGTCACAAACGAAGTAGTGATTGCAGTTGGTGGGATGAGGAATAAAAATGATATCGTCTCCTTCTCTTGGTATTGGGCAACGAATTTCTTGTGCTTGGACATAAAATACACCCAACAGGCACATCAAAAGTGCAACGGAGAATATGGCTAAAATATATTAAATCAATGAGAAAATGTAATGTGTGTGATAAGTAATTGTTTTATAAAATATCTTGAATTATTACAATTTTGTGCTAAGTACAAAAATGAAAACGCGCGTGATATCAAATGTATATAGTGATATTATTAAATGTTTTTATTACAAGTTATATGAATTTAAAAAAATGTAAATTTACAAGGAAGTATAATAAAAATTTCTTAGTCTAAATTATATATACCTATAATTTTATTTAGATTATAACTCTTTTCATGAAATTTGCTATATATATTTTAGAAATATTTCAAGGTAGTTCTCTACCCGAGTTGGAATATCAATTCATTTACGATATTTACAGAAAATATGTTCTACGTTTATTATGATACATTTTGAAGTACTTTATACAATAATAATTATATTTACTCATGAATTTAAAACTTTTAAACATTAATTATCACTTGAACAACAGACTTACCTTTCATTTTGCTGCTTGTTATTCTTTATTTTACTCTTTATGCGAATGTTACTCTTACGCGAATTTACACTTGATTGTATATTCGACTATCTGAAGCCTCTTTATATATCCGATCAATAGATCCTTTTTATCAGTCTGGATCACTTAATCGTTCTGAGATTCAAATCCTTATCAGATACGCGTAATGATATCATGACAAACCTGCGACTTAATATTTCACACAATCGTGAATAGCGACAGTTTCGTTAAATCACATCTAGGTTTGTTGTACATCATACCCAGTCAAAATGTTAAGAAGACGAAGGTCGAGGTAAGCAAGTAAATGAGAAAAGAAGGGATTTATGAAGAGTGAAACGAAATGAACGAAATGTAGGATGAGTGCGAGAGAGTAACGGAGAATGAGAGGAAGCGAGAAAGGAGAAGGATGCTAGCTGACACTCGGACAATGCTGGCGTGGTGCTGTCGCGTTCGGTTCCTGGTTATGGCGGGTGCACAATGCCTATTGTCGGGCAACCCACCATACAAACGTGTGTGCTGACGCTTTCACACAACGGCCAGCTCTAGCTCTCTACCTCTATCTCCTCTATCTCATCCGTTCGCTCTCTCCGTCGCCGTACTTTCGTTTCTGCCAAAGACGAACACAAAATCTTCCTCCTCGTCATTTCCTCATAAACTCGCGGCTTTCGGCAAGACCAATAATATATGTAAAGAATAATATACATTTTTTCGAATAATATCGTAGAAGTAGTGTAAAATGAGTTCAAAACGATAAAGTAGAAAGATGTGAAGATAGGAAAATTATATTTGATAGTCGTCGCTTCCACGACACTGCATCTAAAATATCGTCGCAAAATTGCGGGTGACATATATTCCAGTTCTTGCTGTTGCTATGATATAAAAATGTAAAGAATTATACGAATTGCTTAATATATTTATAACTTTTTATTTTATTATTTAAAAAGTGCATTAATTAGCTATAAATAAATTTATATAAATTTATATTATGTACTCTGATAATATAATCTAATATAAATAAAATTAAAAATTTTTTTAATTTTTGATAAAACACTACAAATTTTTCATGGAAATTATATTTTTATTAAATAACTTTTCCTTTCTAGCGTAACTAAATTACTAATTATTGATTTAATTTATACAAAATATCTGAATACATATATTGACAGTCTAAGATAACAATGTCGATTAAACTGATATCGTTATCTTAAGAATTAATGTCAATTTGATGTACTATATATCTACACATCTATATAGAATAATCGCATTATCAATACTCTTACTCTCTCAGTATGATTACTTTATTTACTTTAATTAAGTTAGTCGTATTTTAAAAATTATTTTCTATCTGACACATTCAATTTTATAAATTCTGTTTTAAATATACTAATACAATTTTAATAATTCACTATTATTGATTTAAATTAATTATTATTGACGTTATTTACTGCAACATATTGCAAATACGTATTGTTGTTATAATACATAAATATTAGAATAAGATGAGTTATGCACAGAAAAATAAAAAATGAACTTATAATTTCGTCATAATGCTTTGAATTGATAATCGATTGTTCGCATAGAAGTAGACAATTTTTAACAATAAATTGTTATATCTGTACGCTGAAATAATACGATATCCAAGAAATAAAGAAAAAAATCTTTTCATACGACAAATAAGAGGAAGAGCGGATTTCCGTTCTGTCACTTCGACAAGATGTCTATAATTTGAATTCAATCGTTTGCAAATCACGATCTCGTTCACGTCTTACTCTCAATTGTTCGGAACTGCGCGGAAATTGGGTTTCCTTTAGGAAATGAGACATTTCAGTCGACACGGAGGAACGATTGTTCGAAAATGGTTGGACGCCTACAAACGAAAAATATATCGTTTTCTTGAGACGTGCCAAAATTTTGATTAACTCTCAGTCATAAAGCTAGTTTAACGTATAAAAGTATATATTGCTTTGTTCGTGTTTAGACTTTAGATCAATTTTTATCGTTACTGAAAGAATAGTTACTGCAAATAATCTAATAAATATATTTAATAAATATATATTATACAGCCGTCAATATTCATATATAAGATAAGTGTTAAAATAATTATAAGGTTATTAATCGCTACGTTGCTGTCGATCATAATGTTTAAAAATATTATGGCATGTGAAAATGTTAGCGTTAATATTTCTATTCTCTATCGGCTGGGCAAAGAAGAAAGAAAGAGAAGAAGAGAACTCGGTCTCCTATACTCGCCGTATTGGCATACACGCCGCCTGCGTTTTACGGCCATATTCAGCGATTTTGCATATCGAGGCCAGACGTGTGTATGTGCGTACATTATAGGGCTGGGAAAAAAGGAAGAAAGAAGGAAGAGGAGAGACCCATCGCCGTCCTTTCTTCTCCAATGCCATCAGAACTGCTGCAAGCCCATTCACCTTTTCCACATCGATTCACATATATACGGCAATCGCAGACCTTCTTGAGAGCTCAATTTATCGCGGAACGGCCTCCGCTGCCGCATCGGTACAAAGCATGCTGGTGTGCAGGACGTATACCCTCCTTCGGATCAAATTGTCATAATTGAATAACCAAAGAGATAAGCGAGCTCCGCTTTGACTATAAGTGCGCTCGCGTAACTTTGGCAACGACCTCATATACGGGTCGATTCATTTAACCCTGGAGTACTTCGAGTCCACTTGGTGTTCAATTCTAAATTCTCCCTCTCGTATCATGCCTACACGAATTCCTTTTTACGATTAAGTCGATTAAACTGACCTATATGTTACATTCGGCATTCCATTTATTTTAATATATTGATACTTAATATATTGAAATTGATTATATGGGAATTTAAAAAAATGATTTTAATTATCAATGGTATCTTACAATAATTGAATATGAAATTACACATATTAAATATTAAACTAAAAGACTAATTAGTATTTAAAATTTATGTAGTAAAATTTTATCAATTATAATTTAAAACAATATTTAAAAGACTGTTACTTTATATACAACTTTATATACAATATGTAACAAGAATATTCTCAGAGGATAAAGCAGGGATAAGACAACCCTAAAATTGTACGATTCATTCCGGCGATCAGAAAAGAAAGGCGGTTCAAAAGAAACACTTGATGAAGCTGATGGAAAAGGTTGATACGAAATAAACGAGATCGGATGGAAGCGTAGGATGCGGATATCGGGGATAGCTTTAACGGTCTTCTGTTTAGCTGACTTCGCCATTTGCCGGCATGTCGATAATTGCCACAATGCAAGGATGAAAAGCTAGAAAAAGTACGGTGCAGCTAAAAATCGGAGAAAATAGCTAATCGAATGATGAGTTGATCACTAATTTTACCTTTAAGACTTGTATATATACTCATTACACACGCGAAGCAAAGTTATATACTTCAATATCATTATTTTTATTTCCAACTTTCTCTAGAATAGTTATAGGTATATATAACAAAGGAGGAGAATTTTATCAGAAACTCGATAATTTTTATTTTATTAGAGATATAAGTATAAATAATATGAATTGTTTTCTCTATTAATAATTATTCAATGAAAGATCCGAATTGGAACTAAGTACGTATTGGCAATCGTATTAGACAACCAGTTAGAAACTTGTTGCTGTGATTTATAATCATGGGGCAGGCAAATTGGGGAGCAGTCGAGTATATGTCATAGATTTGTGCCTATGAGAAGTGGTATTGCGGACACAATTGCTTCTGGCGCGAGGAACGTAACATGTGGTCACGCAATACCATTTCGATTGCGCTCATTATGGATTTATTAGATTCCATCATTCTCTTTTACTTAATGCAATATAAAAAGCAAAAATATTAAATCCTTTCGTATACAAAGTATACAAAGTATACAAAAAAATTATAAAATATTTTTAAAATATATACAAGACAACTATAATATTTTAAATAAATTATTACATTTTTTAAACAAATAAACTTTTTAAGTTTTACAAAAATAAATCACTGATAAATACGTACCTCTTTATTTAGAAAAGTTTTATCTGCAAATATATTTTTTGTTGTAATTATTATTACAACTGTAAATAAATAATTACGCTTTTGATTTTATAAAAAAATTTATTGTCTTATATTCGCATGTGAAATTAATTTCCCGTTTGCGATCTAGATCTTTTTGGCACAATTACGAACTTTCTCTAATTAGATTTTATTTTTTCGAAATTAAAAGGTAAAATCAGCTTCGTCTTCTTAAAATGTCCTGTTAGTAGTAGGTCTTATTTCAAGTATTATCAAAACATTACAGGTAAATATAATAGAGATATTGGAAAGTAACCTGAATTTTTTTGAAAGTTAGAATAATAAAAAAAAACTTGGACTGTATAAAAAGGAACCAAATTACAGACAGAAAGAGTAAAAATATGATTGTAGACGGAGGGTTAAATAACGCTAAAATTTTTATCTTAATTTCTATCCTTCAAACAATTTTCTTTTTAGAAGATCACAGACGGTAAAAGATTATAGCAATAATATTTTATTTCGTAGAACATGGACTTTCTGTGATCGTCTGATATTTACGAAGAAACGTGAGTACGAAAACCGCATCCAATAAATTATAGAGCATGTTTTGTATTATAGTATTGTACAATAAAATGTTTGCAATTTAAATCAGAGAGAAATAACAAAAATGTGTATTTCTTTACCATTGTACGAAAATAATAAGAAATAATAACGATATAGACACAAAATCTATAAAAAGTACGATCTACGATTGTAATTTTGAATTTTGAATATGAAAGATAAATATAATTTTAAATAATATGTTATTAAACGTGTAATAATATAAATATGCGACGACATTGTAATTAGAATTCCAAAATTTTTAATGAATGGTTTACCTTTGATGTTTTGATACTTGAAAATATTATGATTACAATTTATGATGATGACAAAGGTTACTCATTGATACAAGACAAATATAATCAAATATTAAAGGAAATTAATGTAACAATGAACATTTTAATTCTATATCTACGATCGAGTTTTTATTGTATAATTAAAAATGTCACTGGCAGTGCTCTC